GTCTCAATCATACATTAAGTATAATACAGGTCTCAATCATACTTAAGTATAATACAGGTCTCAATCATACTTTAAGTATAATACAGGTCTCAATCATACTTTAAGTATAATACAGGTCTCAATCATACTTAAGTATAATACAGGTCTCAATCATACTTTAAGTATAATACAGGTCTCAATCATACTTTAAGTATAATACAGGTCTCAATCATACTTTAAGTATAATACAGGTCTCAATCATACTTAAGTATAATACAGGTCTCAATCATACATTAAGTATAATACAGGTCTCAATCATACTTTAAGTATAATACAGGTCTCATCATACATTAAGTATAATACAGGTCTCAATCATACTTTAAGTATAATACAGGTCTCAATCATACATTAAGTATAATACAGGTCTCAATCATACTTTAAGTATAATACAGGTCTCAATCATACTTTAAGTATAATACAGGTCTCAATCATACATTTAAGTATAATACAGGTCTCAATCATACATTAAGTCTAATACAGGTCTCAATCATACTTTAAGTATAATACAGGTCTCAATCATACATTAAGTATAATACAGGTCTCAATCATACTTTAAGTATAATACAGGTCTCAATCATACTTTAAGTATAATACAGGTCTCAATCATACTTTAAGTATAATACAGGTCTCAATCATACATTAAGTCTAATACAGGTCTCAATCATACATTAAGTATAATACAGGTCTCAATCATACATTAAGTCTAATACAGGTCTCAATCATACTTAAGTATAATACAGGTCTCAATCATACTTTAAGTATAATACAGGTCTCAATCATACATTAAGTATAATACAGGTCTCAATCATACATTAAGTATAATACAGGTCTCAATCATACTTTAAGTATAATACAGGTCTCAATCATACATTAAGTATAATACAGGTCTCAATCATACTTTAAGTATAATACAGGTCTCAATCATACTTTAAGTATAATACAGGTCTCAATCATACTTTAAGTATAATACAGGTCTCAATCATACATTAAGTCTAATACAGGTCTCAATCATACATTAAGTATAATACAGGTCTCAATCATACATTAAGTCTAATACAGGTCTCAATCATACTTTAATTATAATGCAGGTCTCAATCATACTTTAAGTATAATACAGGTCTCAATCATACATTAAGTATAATACAGGTCTCAATCATACTTTAAGTATAATACAGGTCTCAATCATACTTTAAGTATAATTCAGGTCTCAATCATACATTAAGTATAATACAGGTCTCAATCATACATTAAGTATAATTCAGGTCTCAATCATACATTAAGTATAATACAGGTCTCAATCATACTTTAAGTCTAATACAGGTCTCAATCATACATTAAGTATAATACAGGTCTCAATCATACATTAAGTATAATACAGGTCTCAATCATACTTAAGTATAATACAGGTCTCAATCATACTTTAAGTATAATACAGGTCTCAATCATACATTAAGTATAATACAGGTCTCAATCATACTTAAGTATAATACACGTCTCAATCATACTTTAAGTATAATACAGGTCTCAATCATACATTAAGTATAATACAGGTCTCAATCATACTTTAAGTATAATACAGGTCTCAATCATACTTAAGTATAATACAGGTCTCAATCATACTTTAAGTATAATACAGGTCTCAATCATACTTTAAGTCTAATACAGGTCTCAATCATACATTAAGTATAATACAGGTCTCAATCATACTTTAACTATAATACAGGTCTCAATCATACATTAAGTATAATACAGGTCTCAATCATACATTAAGTATAATACAGGTCTCAATCATACATTAAGTATAATACAGGTCTCAATCATACTTTAAGTCTAATACAGGTCTCAATCATACTTTAAGTATAATACAGGTCTCAATCATACATTAAGTATAATACAGGTCTCAATCATAAATTAAGTATAATACAGGTCTCAATCATACTTTAAGTATAATACAGGTCTCAATCATACTTTAAGTATAATACAGGTCTCAATCATACATTAAGTCTAATACAGGTCTCAATCATACTTTAAGTATAATACAGGTCTCAATCATACTTAAGTATAATACAGGTCTCAATCATACTTTAAGTATAATACAGGTCTCAATCATACTTTAAGTATAATACAGGTCTCAATCATACATTAAGTATAATACAGGTCTCAATCATACATTAAGTATAATACAGGTCTCAATCATACTTAAGTATAATACACGTCTCAATCATACTTTAAGTATAATACAGGTCTCAATCATACATTAAGTATAATACAGGTCTCAATCATACTTTAAGTATAATACAGGTCTCAATCATACTTTAAGTATAATACAGGTCTCAATCATACTTTAAGTATAATACGGGTCTCAATCATACTTTAAGTATAATACAGGTCTCAATCATACATTAAGTCTAATACAGGTCTCAATCATACATTAAGTATAATACAGGTCTCAATCATACTTAAGTATAATACAGGTCTCAATCATACTTTAAGTATAATACAGGTCTCAATCATACTTAAGTATAATACACGTCTCAATCATACTTTAAGTATAATACAGGTCTCAATCATACATTAAGTATAATACAGGTCTCAATCATACTTTAAGTATAATACAGGTCTCAATCATACTTAAGTATAATACAGGTCTCAATCATACTTTAAGTATAATACAGGTCTCAATCATACATTAAGTATAATACAGGTCTCAATCATACATTAAGTATAATACAGGTCTCAATCATACTTTAAGTATAATACAGGTCTCAATCATACATTAAGTATAATACAGGTCTCAATCATACTTTAAGTATAATACAGGTCTCAATCATACTTTAAGTATAATACAGGTCTCAATCATACTTTAAGTATAATACAGGTCTCAATCATACTTTAAGTATAATACAGGTCTCAATCATACATTAAGTATAATACAGGTCTCAATCATACATTAAGTCTAATACAGGTCTCAATCATACATTAAGTATAATACAGGTCTCAATCATACTTTAAGTATAATACAGGTCTCAATCATACTTTAAGTATAATACAGGTCTCAATCATACTTAAGTATAATACAGGTCTCAATCATACATTAAGTATAATACAGGTCTCAATCATACATTAAGTATAATACAGGTCTCAATCATACATTAAGTATAATACAGGTCTCAATCATACTTTAAGTATAATACAGGTCTCAATCATACATTAAGTATAATACAGGTCTCAATCATACATTAAGTATAATACAGGTCTCAATCATACTTTAAGTATAATACAGGTCTCAATCATACTTTAAGTATAATACAGGTCTCAATCATACTTTAAGTATAATACAGGTCTCAATCATACATTAAGTATAATACAGGTCTCAATCATACTTTAAGTATAATACATGTCTCAATCATACATTAAGTATAATACAGGTCTCAATCATACTTTAAGTATAATACAGGTCTCAATCATACATTAAGTATAATACAGCTCTCAATCATACTTTAAGTATAATACAGGTCTCAATCATACATTAAGTATAATACAGGTCTCAATCATACTTTAAGTATAATACAGGTCTCAATCATACTTTAAGTATAATACAGGTCTCAATCATACATTAAGTCTAATACAGGTCTCAATCATACATTAAGTATAATACAGGTCTCAATCATACATTACGTATAATACAGGTCTCAATCATACATTAAGTATAATACAGGTCTCAATCATACTTAAGTATAATACAGGTCTCAATCATACTTTAAGTATAATACAGGTCTCAATCATACTTTAAGTATAATACAGGTCTCAATCATACATTAAGTATAATACAGGTCTCAATCATACATTACGTATAATACAGGTCTCAATCATACATTAAGTATAATACAGGTCTCAATCATACATTAAGTATAATACAGGTCTCAATCATACATTAAGTATAATACAGGTCTCAATCATACTTTAAGTATAATACAGGTCTCAATCATACTTTAAGTCTAATACAGGTCTCAATCATACATTAAGTATAATACAGGTCTCAATCATACTTTAAGTATAATACAGGTCTCAATCATACTTTAAGTATAATACAGGTCTCAATCATACATTAAGTCTAATACAGGTCTCAATCATACATTAAGTATAATACAGGTCTCAATCATACATTACGTATAATACAGGTCTCAATCATACATTAAGTATAATACAGGTCTCAATCATACATTAAGTATAATACAGGTCTCAATCATACATTAAGTATAATACAGGTCTCAATCATACTTTAAGTATAATACAGGTCTCAATCATACATTAAGTATAATACAGGTCTCAATCATACTTTAAGTATAATACAGGTCTCAATCATACATTAAGTATAATACAGGTCTCAATCATACATTAAGTATAATACAGGTCTCAATCATACTTTAAGTATAATACAGGTCTCAATCATACTTTAAGTATAATACAGGTCTCAATCATACATTAAGTATAATACAGGTCTCAATCATACATTAAGTATAATACAGGTCTCAATCATACTTTAAGTATAATACAGGTCTCAATCATACTTTAAGTATAATACAGGTCTCAATCATACATTAAGTATAATACAGGTCTCAATCATACTTTAAGTATAATAGGAAAGCATCCAACCGGAAAGTGTATACACTGCAGCCAGCCAGAAACTGTTGAGCATGCTTTACTGCTTTGCAGGAAATATAGTACTCAGAGAAATGTGATTTTCCAGACACTGAAGAAAGCAAAATGCCATGACTTGTCGCTATCAGGGCTGTTAGGGAAAACATCAGGCAATATATATTGTGAGATCATTACGTTTCTAAGAGAAATTGATACATTTAAAATAATCTAGAGTTTTGGTTCTTGTTTTCTGCATAGTCTCTTGTCCACACTCCAGTCCAGTTGGTGGCGGTAATGCACCTACAGGTTGGTTTGCCAACCGCCAATAAACACGAAAGAAGAAGAAGAATGTGCTATTCGAAGCATTGCCAGATGTGAACATGCCTCGCACTAAAGAGCTCTCAGAAGACCTACGATTAAGAATTGTTGACTTGCATAAAGCTGGAAAGGGTTACAAAAGTATCTCTGAAAGCCTTGATGTCCATCAGTCCACGGTGAGACAGATTGTCTATAAATGGAGAAAGTTCAGCACTGTTGCTACTCTCCCTAGGAGTGGCCGTCCTGTGAAGATGACTGCAAGAGCACAGCGCAGGATGCTCAATGAGGTGAAGAAGAATCCTAGAGTGTCAGCTCGAGACTTAAAGACATCTCTGGCACATGCTAACATCTCTGTTGACGAATCTACGATACGTAAAACACTGAACAAGAATGGAGTTCATGGGAGGACACCACGGAGGACACCACGGAGGAAGCCACTGCTGTCCAGAAACAACATTGCTGCACGTTTGAAGTTTGCAAAAGAGCACCTGGATGTTCTGTGGACAGATGAAACCAAAGTTGAGTTGTTTGGAAGGAAGGAACACACAACGCTATGTGTGGAGAATGCAAAGGGTTCACATACTTTTCCTTGCAACTGTAGATCTGAGTACTTTTACTCAAGTACTTCTTTCACTAAATTACCAGAATGTAAGAAGTAGAAAGTACAGGTATTTGTGTTCAACATGTAAGAAGTAGAAAGTACAGGTATTTGAGTTCAACATGTAAGAAGTAGAAAGTACAGGTATTTGTGTTCAACATGTGAGAAGTAGAAAGTACAGGTATTTGGGTTCAACATGTGAGAAGTAGAAAGTACAGGTATTTGTGTTCAACATGTAAGAAGTAGAAAGTACAGGTATTTGAGTTCAACATGTAAGAAGTAGAAAGTACAGGTATTTGAGTTCAACATGTAAGAAGTAGAAAGTACAGGTATTTGTGTTCAACATGTGAGAAGTAGAAAGTACAGGTATTTGGGTTCAACATGTAAGAAGTAGAAAGTACAGGTATTTGAGTTCAACATGTGAGAAGTAGAAAGTACATGTATTGGTGTTCAACATGTAAGAAGTAGAAAGTACAGGTATTTGTGTTCAACATGTAAGTAGTAGAAAGTACAGGTATTTGAGTTCAACATGTGAGAAGTAGAAAGTACAGGTATTTGTGTTCAACATGTAAGTAGTAGAAAGTACAGGTATTTGTGTTCAACATGTAAGAAGTAGAAAGTACAGGTATTTGTGTTCAACATGTAAGAAGTAGAAAGTACAGGTATTTGGGTTCAACATGTAAGAAGTAGAAAGTACAGGTATTTGAGTTCAACATGTGAGAAGTAGAAAGTACAGGTATTTGTGTTCAACATGTAAGAAGTAGAAAGTACAGGTATTTGTGTTCAACATGTGAGAAGTAGAAAGTACAGGTATTTGTGTTCAACATGTAAGAAGTAGAAAGTACAGGTATTTGAGTTCAACATGTGAGAAGTACAAAGTCATCAGAAAAATAAGTAGTGGAGTAAAGTACTGATACCAGAACAATGTACTTAAGTTCAGTAAGTATTTGTACTCCACTACTTCCCACCTCTGGATATCAGAATTTAAAAGTACTTGTTGTGTATTTGTTGTGTATTTGTGTAGGTGTCGCAGGCGGCTGCGGAGCTGCAACAGTTTTGTCTGCAGAACGCATCTAAAGACGCGCTTCTGGTCGGGGTCCCCACGGGGAGCAACCCCTTCAGAGAGCCTCGATCCTGCGCCGTGGTGTGAAGACAACTCAGTGAGTTATAATGAGTTAGAGAAATATCACCGGCTTGATCTTCAATCTCAGGATCCATGTATCTGTGATCCTCTCCAGAATGGAAGTAGTCATCACATACAGAGCATCAAGTAGTTCCTGAGCAGTGTCCTTCACATGCTGATATCCAAGAGAGGGAGTTACACAGTCACAAGATGGAGGAATACCGGTTCTTCTATGAAATTTATTTTTTAACTTTTTCCTCCAAATTATGACATTCTCTCACAATTATGACTTTTTTCTCAAAATCGCAAAATTCTGTCGTTTTTCTCAAAATCGCAAAATTCTGACTTTACTCGAAATCTCAAACAGTGTCCTTCACATGCTGATATCAAGAGAGGGAGTTACACAGTCACAAGATGGAGGAATAGAAAGCAGTATTCAATGTTTACTTCAGATTAGCTCCACGTCAGAAATGAGCATGCTTGATGTCTCTCTCCATAGAGGCTGAATCATCATGTTAATCACATAGCTATCATCTGCCTCAAACATCCTGTCATGTTCACAGCTACAGTTGGGATACCTTTGTTATCATGTACTCTCATGTTGGAAGAGGACACTCAGGATTTTCACAACATAATGCTTTAATTTTAGGTAATGCATATTATTTATAAAGCAGAATTTAAAATGAGGAATAAAAATAATGGTCTTTCTTTTTTGCAGGGGAGGACGAGGAACTTGCAGAAGAGGATACTTTTGTTTTGTTTGTTACATTTATGAAGAAAAACTATTAATTGTTCAAATAAATGTCTTGTTTTATTTCATTACTGTTTTTCATGTTTGCTTTTCTTCATTCAAAATCATATTGTAAAATAATAATAGTTTTCCGCAATAATATTAATTAATAAAATACAAATAATAATAATAATACATGATAAATTATGATAATAATAAGTATTAATAATACATTAATAAATAATAGATGATAAATTATGATAATACATAATTAATAATAATGAATGATAAATACTAAATAATACATCATCAATAATAATAAGTATTAATATACATTAATAATTAATGAATAATAATAATAATGTAAAAATTATAAAACACTTTTAGTTTATTTTAGGAAGTTTCAAGTGCTCAACTATATTTAAACATATATATTTAATATTTACAAATATATGTCATACTGAAAAACAAAGTAAAATATCAAATAAAAAAATAAAGTTTATTAAGGACTTAAATATATATATTTACATGTCATTGTTTTTGATTACATTACACTTCATTCAGCTGATGCTTTCATCCAAATCAACTGACATTAAGTGCAATTATTCCAGTGTGAGTGCTAATGCATTGTAATGCTGCTGAAGAGTAGAGTCAACAACAAGGATTATCTGTGTGTTTTAAAGGGCGGAACAAATCACGCCGAGGAACCTCGGAGCTTCCTGACGCTCAGTCTAAATTAGGAGAGAGGAAACGAGGATCTTCCTGTTCAAAACTGCACAGACTTTCTGCTCAGTCTCAGGACCCAAGGTTACTTTGCAGAAAAATGCTTTATTGTCCGGCAAAACAAAACTCTTTCTCCCTCACCGACAAACATTCAACATCAAGGATCTGACAACAAGCGGAACGTAGCAAGACTAATTACTAGCTGAACACAATCAGGAGGGAAATACAGAGACAGGAAGCGACAGCAGGGGGCGAACCTTTCAAAAATAAGGAACACAGACAGATCGTGACAGTGCCTCCCAGCTTTTATAGATTTTAGACTTTAATGAAGAGCTAAAGGCGATGTTAGATGTCAGAAATAAAACATGAATCACCAGACTATGGGGATATCATGCAGCGTGCTTTAGGGTCTATTTAAGTGTATTAAAGGCCCCATGTCACGGCCATTTCTACTGATCATAGTTCCATTGTTGAGGTCTACTAGAATAAATGTATACTGTTCAATGTTCCAAACTCACATTGGTTTCTCACAGCTTCTCTGTATAGTCTGTGTATTCACTCTCTGTCCTAAACGGCTTGTTGGAGCTCCTGCCCCCCCTCCCTGTGAGCCCAGTGGCCGTCTGCGAGACAGCCAGAAACACACACCACACACACACACACACCACACACACACACACACACACACACACACACACACACACACACACACACACACACACACACACACACACACACACACACACACACACACACACCCACACACACACACACACACACACACACACACACACACACACACACACACACACACACACACACACCACACACACACACACACACACACACACACCCGCAGCCTGGCTGGGAGTTTGTGTGTGTGCTCAGGCTGAGTTCCGCGGTGTCTCGCTGTCTCGCCGCCCCCACACCAGTGAGCCAGCTCAGTGTCTCGCTCCTCGAAGCAGCGAGCCTCGCAACGTCCCGCCGAGTGAGTGTGTGTGTGTGTGTGTGTGTGTGTGTGTGTGTGTGTGCGTGTGCGTGTGAGGAAGTCCGCTGATTGGTCCAAACGTAACGGCTCCGCGGACGTAACGTAAAAATCTGCGGAGCCGCTACAGTACGTTACGTCACTATACCCAAGAAGTAAACAATGGAAAAAGAGAAATGCCCAACGAGGCGTTCTGGGGCAGCACAGACAGGTCTTCTCTGTGTTAGAGTTTTACTCGCTACAGGGTGCACTTTGAGGGTTAGTGACTCTGCAGACCGTTTACACAGGGGCGGCGCCAGGGAGGAGCTAGGGGGTGCTGAAGCACCCCCCAGGATTGCCAAAGCACCCCCTAAGCACCCCCAAGAAATATGTGTTTTTGTTTTTTTTTCGAAAATTATTATTATTATTTTTATTAAATTAAATTAGAAATATTATTGATTACATCAATGCATATGTGAAACAAACACATTTTTGACCAAAAACATAAAGCCAACACAGGTGATATGATTAGGCCAATGGTCAGCACCCATTCGATTTTTGACCTACCCATAGGCTAAATTACTTTGTGACACTTGATTGACTTCCTGTTAGCTAGAGCGCCAAATGATTTGCTAACAGCAAAGTGAAAAATGGATCGTTTTTTAGTCCTTAAACGACCACGTGTGGACACTCAATCAAAACCAACTGAAAGCGAGAGGGATTCTGCACATAATAGGCCTCGTGAGTACAAGTAGCTTACTTCTGGGTCTCTGTGTTTCATTCAAGCCCTGCTTTGTGTGTGTGGCACGAGCCATTTTGTGTGCGTGCGTGCGCGAGCGAGCGAGAGAGCTCGCCTCGCGCACCAGTGGGTATCTACCGGAGATCGTTGTGGTTAGCATCTGGTGCTAGCTAGCCAAGCTAATGGATATAAGGAGCTTTTTCAACAACAAGGTGGAGGGAGAACTCTCTCCTGTCAGACGGAGAGTCTCAGGTAACCTCAACTCAGGTGAAGTAAAGGACTCTCTCAGTGTTTAGATAGTTAACTTTAGTCTAGTTATCTCAGTGGGTCTCAAACGGTTTGTTTTAAAAGGGGAGTGATTTGTAAAATATCTATAAAGAAATAGAAAATCTGTTTGACAGTTCTGTTTCGTATGGGTGTTGAGATGTATCCATAGATCTCTTAATGTTGCTCTCAAAGTGCACCAGATTGATGCTTTTAACTTAAATATGTAACAACAAATCTTCCCGGGGGAGCTAGCCCCCGGACCCCCCTAGAGGAGGTGAGGACCCTCCTAGAGGAGGTGAGGTCCGCTCCCCACTTGTAAAAATAGCACTTTACCCCTGCCTATATGCCGTGAGCTGATTATCGAGCCTTCATTGTAACAGTCGCGGGTGCACTGTGTGTGTGTGTGCGTGGGGAGTGTTGCAGTAGAAAATTCAACTGTAGCGCTGGTACATTAATGGGACACCCTAAATGTTTGAGCACCCTCTATGAAACGTCAAGCTACCCCACAGCACCCCCTAGAGAAAATCTCTGGCGCCGCCACTGCGTTTACATGCAAAAAACCTTCATAACACAAAAGGGGACGGGCAAGAACCGGAAAAGCATGACATGGGACCTTTAAGTCATGTCTATTTGTATTTAATTTATTTAAAATCTGTATAAAATCCAATGTAAATATGTGTAAATGATGAAAGAATCAGTCTCTGGCCATAATGAGACGCCTTCCACTTTGTCTCACTTCCTTTTCCTGCAGTACAATGTTTTTTGGGCGAGTCTCACTGTGATGCCTCCTTTCCTAACAGCTGCATCCTCGTTGCAGGTGCAAGGATTTGAAAGAAGTGCACGAAAAAACTCTCTTTGAGACCAGTGGCGTTTTTCTCCCGGAGGTCAAGGAAGCAGTTATAATTTAAATAAATAAAAACACTTTGTTTTGTTTCGATCATTCTCCTTTGCTGTGTGTTGCTGCCGGCCCGTCTCTCCCCCATTCTCATTGAGTATTTTACAAAGAGTGAAACAAACAGCGCCCCTCTAGATGTTATGGTGAAACAGTAGATTGCACTCTCTGTTGCGAGAGGAGGCCAGCCGAATCTGGGGCTGCTTCTCAGGTCGACTATTTTCATTTCCTCGCTCCTCGGTCCTCGGTCTCACCGGAAGTTGATTTGCCTGCGCCATCTTGAGTACCGTCCTATGGCTCTTATTTCTGCCGGAGGACCGAGGATCGAGGAGCGAGGAGCGATCATGGAGGAGCGATAAGCGAGGAACCACCAGACCATCCTCTGATGAAATCCTCAGATACTCACCCCGCCCCCTTACTGTGTATCGCTCACTGATTGGACGAGGCAGTGCATGCACTGATCTGATGCTTCTTGACATGAGAGCAGAGTGAAGAAAATACATGAACCTCACGGGAGTCACTCCTCAGTTTATACCGTGTTTTGTTTCAATTCATGTTTCATTTAGTTACAAATATGTGATATATCTGAACAACAAAGTGGTCAAAAATCATTTAATTCATTTTTTGGAAACATTTTCATGATCGCTTTTTTCGTTTTACATTTTCATTTATTGTCATTTCCATTCAGTCATTAAGTGCTATTAAAATGTGAATGTGCTACATATCCACACAAACACACAAAGTGTGCAATCCAATGAATGTTAATCTAACTGGGTTTTGATAGATAACATATCTCTTTTTCTTCTCTCAATTATGTTATTTCTATTGTGCACTCTAATCAATATTAATCAAACTATTGTTCGTTTATACATTTTAAGAATGGCGTTTATCTTTTTTGAGAATTAGTTCTTATTTTATTTTATTTATTTGGGTCTACAACAGATGATACAAATGTTTGTGTCAGTAAATGTGTACTAACAGAGGCGGGGGGTGTGTGGAAATAACGGGGACAGAGCTGCTGTCAGACGATCAGCTGTGCAGCGTCATCACAAACTGACGTCGCTTCACGTGACGCTCCGGAGGAAAGGACGTCCCATTGCTCTTACAACTCATTTCCCTGCTTCTCGTGGTTTCCTTGCGTCCCTCCATGCTTCCCTGGTGGGAGGGACTAAACGCAGGGAAACGACGCAAGTGAGGGAAGCAGGATTTAATTTAATCGACCTGAGAAGCAGCCTGGGCTTCCTTTGGTGAAAAAAATGGGAGGGATTGACCAATCAGATTAGGCTCACGTGATGCCCCTGCCAACCTGTGATTGGTCAGGGCCATGCCAAGGGAAGCCAGAGGCGGCTGGCTTCCCTTGCCTCACAATCCAATCAAATCACATCAATTTAGTGGTGCAGTGACGCGTCCTAAAATCCGGAAGTAAGCTGCGCTCGGTTTCCCTCGACAAAAAAGCATCGGGTTTTCTCCATAGGATTTAGGAAAATAGCTCGAAATAAGGTCAGTGG